CACACACACACACACACACACACACACACACACACACACAGGCCTGGAGGTCAAACAAATCAAACAGTAACTCAGAGGAAGCTAATTTGAACAGAGGTGACCCTGCGTGTGTGACTGGATAGCAACACAGTGTGTGTGTGTGTGTGTGTGTGTGTGTGTGTGAAAACTAAAGTAACGTAAGTGGATTTTTGTTTTTGTCTCGGTTAAATCTTCAGAACATTTTACGTTGACGCTGAGAGTTTGATGCATCGACACCTAAAACACAATAATTAAGAAGTGTGGAAATACACAATGCACACAAACTGTCTCAGGCCATCGACACACTCAGCTGTCAGGTTCAATCAGATCTGACCTGCTCATCACTCCATCATGTTTCCAGTCTGATTTATACGTCTGCATTTATTTGTAGTTTCTCTTTATCAGATGAATGTGAGTGGGGTGTAAACACTCAGTTGAACTCTGCTCACCGTGTCCTGTGGGCTGTTGTTTGTGAAACTCCAGCGGAGCCACGATGAAGCTGGTCTGGCCGAGCGGGCTCCAGTGGTGCAGCACCCTCAGCGTCCACACGCCGGGCCTCAGCGGGGCCGTGAGCGGCGGCCGGTAGTGGGTGACTTCAGCAGAGGCGTCCACCAGGATGTCGTAGGTGGCGGCGATGACGTTGGTGGGGTCGATCCACACCACGGTGGCCGTCAGGTTGCTCTGGCTGCGGCTCCAGCGCTGCACGGCCACCGGCTCGTCCTTGGGGCCCAGCAGACACCCCCAGTTCCTGAAGAGACGCTCCTTCGGATCCCAGTCGCTTCCCACCTGAGGAACGAGAGGCGTTTAGAGACGGAGCGGATAAAGTGCAGGTCAGTGTGTGTGTGTGTGTGCGTGTGCGTGTGTGTGGACCTGGACATGCTGCAGTCTGTTGTTGGGGTGGGGGGGGCTGGCCGGGGTGAAGTGGTCCCTGGGTGTGACCCAGGTCTCCATCGTCTCCAGCTGGGTGGAGGCTCGGTTAGTGGCCACATGGCGCACGAGGTAGCCCTGGAACTGGTCTGACAGGAAGTAGAGGTGGACGGACACTGGGTGGCTCACAGCTGTGAACCTGTAACACACCGAACATCATAATATATTATCAAGTTCTAAAGAAACGTTCTACCTGGTTTATCTGCACAGAGGATTTTATTCTCCATATTTTTCCTCAGATGAAACAGAATCTTCTTTCTGTTTGTGTCTGTTTTTATATTTAACTCTGAAGGATCGACTGGACGGACCTTCATGTTGGATTAAAAACATGTAGACCATGTTTTCAAACTGATTCCACGTCAGTGTGGACGTGGTTTTCGATGTTGCTTCACTAAAATCACAGAAACAGACTATTCCTGTTTTAACCCCCCTGACCCCCCCC